CTTTCTGCAAACATTTTGTTCTTGTATCGAATTAAGAGATGTAAATCAGGACTTAGCCTGATTAATGTTTATCTCCTTTTACAACTACCTATGAATAAATCAACAGTCGAAATCTTTTTATCATTATAGTTCCAAGTCTTCAAGATTCCCGCTGTTCATCAGCTTGAAATAACTTACTGGAATATTCTTTCATTGATAAACATAAATTAAATACATATAACATAGGGACTTATAAATACATTTGGGTATGCTTGGTTTTAGAATGAAGCATAGTGCACTTTATTTTGGAGATTTAATTACAGCAAAAAATTTTTGAATAGATAATATGTTTCAAAATCCAAAAACTGCAAAAATTATATAGTGAAAGTTCTTGTACCCTTGTCCAGCAACCCTGAGGTTCCCTTTGTTGGAGGCAATCAGTATTACGAGTTTCATGTATATGGTTCTGAAGAGTCCTTCCAATTGCAAACGACTGAATATCTTCTCTACACCTTTGTTTTTACAAACACTAGCATACTTTACACTTTACCATTATGATTATACTACATTTTTCTCACATCGCGTATGCTAGAAATCGTTCCCCGACACAGAACATTCAATCACAAAAGAGCATATTCAAATCATCTTTTGCAGCTGCAGAGTAGTCCACTGTAGGCAGCTATCATGATTTATTTAACCAGTCCCTGCTAATGGACATTCAGGTGTTTCTAATTTTTAGCTATCACAAACAAGCAGCATTACTATGCTTTAAAATAAAACAACATGGCCAGGCACAGTGGTTCAGGCCTGTAGTTTCAGCAATTTCAGAAGCTGAGCCAGGTGGATCACCTGAGCCCAGGAGTTCCAGACCAGCCTGGGCAAATGGCAAAACTCTGTCTTTACAAAGAATACAAAAAAATTAGCCAGGCATGGTGGTACACACCTGTACTTCCAGCTACCCGGGAGGCTGAGGTGAGAGATCACCTGAGCTTAGGCGGTTGCGGCTGCAGTGAGCTGTGATTATGCCACTCCACTCCAGCCTAGGCAACTGAGTGAGACTCTGTCTCAAAAAATAAAAATACAGACCAGGAGTGGTGGCTCACAACTGTAATCCCAGCACTCTGGGAGGCCGAGGCAGGCAGATCACCTGAGGTCAGGAGTTCGAGAACAGCCTGACCAACATGGTGAAATCCCCGTCTCAAAAAATAAAATAAAACATATAAAAAATAAATAAAATAAAGATATTAAAAAATATAAAACAACATAACATAGAAACAAAAAAACATACTTCAGGCCGGGCATGGTGGCTCACGCCTGTAATCCAAGCACTTTGGAGGCCAAGGAGGGTGGATCACCTGAGGTCAGGAGTTCAAGACCAGCCTGACCAATATGGTGAAACTCCGTCTTTAAAAAATTAAAAAAATTTAAAAAAAAACCAAAAAACTTCAAATTACCCTAGGATACTTATGTTTCAGACCCAGGTCAATCATAAAATCAATGTTCAGCTCTCCCAGAAAAGTTCTTATGTTTGGACCTGACCTCTTATCAGTTAACTGTCTTAGCGCAATCTTACAATTTGGTCTATTCCATAAGCTCACTCATTTGGTTAAGTAAACAATGTCTATGGTTTTACTAAATTATTTTAATAAACTGCATAATTATGTGATAGTTAAATATATACCAACCTGTTATATGAGACAAGCTGACTTGGAGGTAATCCAAGGCCAGAGAATCAATTACTGCTTGTACATTGTGTGCATCATCCTCTTGACTCCCAGGAATAGCTATGAGGTCTGTGTGGGGTGGGGAAATCACAGAATTTTGTATCCATGAGAGGCCAAGTTTTCATCAAATTGTCTGACTAGGCTACTGATAAGCTCAACTGCTATAAAAGAAAGCTCTGCCCAAACACAACATGCTATAAAGTACAAACAAAGTTCATAAATCCTGAACTCTACACAGCAGAATCTTTGAGTATTTACTGATTAAACTGATTTATCAGTATTGGATATTGATTGGTTGAATATAGTTGAATATTACACCCATGTTTATATATATATATAAACATGCTCTACAAAAATCACCATGCTAAGGAAGATAAAAGTGGCCCCTAAATTCCATGAGATGCTAATAGCCTAATAAGGGAGGCCAGACAAGAGACTTTAACCCAGTAACTGTGGGGGAGTGGGGGAGAAAGAGAAAGAAAGAGAAAGAACGAGAAAGAAAGAGAAAGAGAGAGAAGAGAGAGAGAGAGAGAGAGTGAGAGAGAGAGAGAGAGAGAGAGACAGAGAGACAGACACCCCACAGCAGGCATTCAAGGAGGGTTCTTACATACATGTATATATGTAAGTTTATTTATTTATTGAGACAGGGTCTCCCTCTGTTGCCCAGGCTGGAGTGCAGTGGCATGATCTCGACTCACTGTAACCTCCACTTCCCAGGCTCAAGCAATTCTCTGGCCTTAGCCTCCTCAATAGTTGTGACTACAGGCAATTTTTCTATTTTTAGCAGAGATGCAGTTTTGCCAAGTAGGCCAGGCTGCTCTTGAACTTCTGGCCTTAGGTGATCCACCCACTCCAAGTGATCAGCCTCCTAAAGTGCTTGATTACACGAGTTAGCCACCGCACCTGGCCCTTTTAAGTCCTTTTAAATACCCAACTAGAAGTATTGGTACAAAGATTTAAAAGGTCGCACCTGGCCCTTGTAAGTCCTTTTAAATACCCAACTAGAAGTATTGGTATAAAGACTCAAAAGGTCAGCACAGGCTGGGTGTGGTGGCTCATGCCTGTAATCCTATCACTTTGGGAGGTAGACACAGGAGGATCACTTAAGCTCAGGAGTTGGAGGCCGCCCTGGTCTTGAACAAAGTGAGATGGTGAGCAAGGTGAAAAAACGTAGGTGCTTAACTGTCTTGGGAAATTAGGTACATCAGGTACAAACATCAATTCTTACCCCTCGTAATGGTTAAGTAACAGGATCCAACAAATTCCCAAGTTTCACTCAATTTTAGATGAAGGTACATTTACAGAAAGGATGTGACTTTCACAAGGCATTAGGTATGATTGGATTAAGCTGTGATTATCAAGAGCCCTCAAACAGATCTGCTCAAGGCCATTATTATAAGTGGGTTCCATCGGGTATTCCTTAAGGAATATTTAAATTATATAATATACAAAATTAAATGTAACTTAATATACAACATTAAAATAAAGATGTAAGCAACGAGAAAGTGAAATTTTATAAATACCAAAGCCTCTAAAGGACCAAAAACTTTTGACCTAAGATACAGGCAAAATTACTCCGTTTAGTATTCTTACCTGGTACCTTTTCTCCCAAAATAGACTGATAAAGAGCAATAAAAACATTAGCATCACAGTCTTCAAGTTCACGTATTCTCAGATGTATGTGACACTTAAAAAGAAGGTTATTGGCAATGGTTACCCACTCTGTTGGGAAAAAGAGGAAAAGATCAGTCTTAAAAACCACCAGAAAAAAATCACTCACACATTTTAAAAAATCCAACCACCATGCCCCCCCCCAAAAAAAAACAGACACTGAACTTTGTGGAAGATAAGGAATTTGATTGTTATAGAATTTCAAAGACTCTTCTAAGGCAAATGTCTCCACTATATTCTGGACACAACGTTCTGGAAAGAAATGAGTGTGTGTATCTTCCATGCACATAATCCCCCTCCCCACGCCCATTTCTCACAGTTGGCCAAACCGTGAGCACTGGTTTGTAAGCACTGGCGACAAGGATGAAAGCGTCCTAGACAACCAAATTCGTTTTTCAAAAGCGGTGCTAGACAAAGCCAATGACTTCAGAGGGCACTGAAGAGAAAAAAGCACCACTATTCTACTGCGACATGGGCATCAACAAATCTTAAGCTGCTGTTCCTTTAAAGACCAATACAAAAGTAGGTACGACCTCAGCGCCCACAGTGCAAGGGCGGAGGGCACACGGACAGCGGCAGACAACCCCACAGAAGGACAAGTCCGGGGACGACCCTTCTGGTGGCTCTTTTTGCACCCAGGACCCAAGTGTACTACCAGGCTCGCCCCAGTGCCTCTCTCCCCCACCGCCTATCACTGTTCCACAGCCTCAAAGCGAAGGAGAAAAGCTGAGACACCCTATCCAGAGACCCCGCCACCGCGACGCGGCGTCTGACAGTCACGACTCCCGCCGACAGCCTAGACTCAGTCCCTGGCCAGCCCAAGGCCTCCCTGGAGCTGGACGGCCTCAGTCTACACCAAACGAGACCCCAGGCCGACACTCACCAGCCTCCGAGCCCGCCATGTCCTGGAGTCAGTACACCCCCGGACTCCGACACTGCCAGGCAGGCTACGGTGTCCTGGAAGGGCCTATCCACACAGACTCGACGCTGGGAGGCGGGTGAACGAACCCAAGCTCGGGGAAGGAAGCGTGAAAGAGGGAGGAACATCAAAAGGGCTGCTCGCCGCTTATTGGTCACTCCTTTCACAGCACGTGCCAGGACGGCGGTTTGCGGAGTTTAGAGACCATTCTCCGCCGGCCAGAACCCGGTAGGTGATTGTCAGACCCATGGGTCGGACGGTCCAAGTAAGCCGGCTGCCCAGGCCGGTCCTGGGGCGTTGAGAGCGCACTTCCGGTGAGCTATTTCGTTAGGTATCCCTCCGCCGACGTCAACGGAGAAGTAGTGCGGCCCGCTGACCAGTGGGCGGGGTGGTGCAGTCACGTGACACGCCAGTTCTCCGCCCCCCCCCCCTCCCGCCTGCCATTTGGTTACGGGCGTGAGGGTTCTTTGGAGACGTAAACATCTCTGAGTGGGGAGAGTTGGCTGGTCTGGGCTGGCTGTTTTATCATCTGGCTGGGCCTGGGAAAGGGCGGAGTGGCTTATTTGAGGTGTGGAAAGACGAGAAGAAGGTGAGGTCCAAAGAGTGCAGAATGAGGCACTCCCGTGGTGGGTGGGTCCCTAGGCTACCCCGGAGCGCCGGCTGGCGTTGCGGCTTCTGTGCGAGGGGCGGGGCGATTAGGTCATAGAGCGGATCCCAGCGTTCCTTGCGGCGTAGGAGGCGGTCCAGACTATAAAAGCGGCTGCCGGAAAGCGGCCGGCACCTCATTCATTTTCACCGGTCTCTGGTCGTGCAGCTCCGGCTTGTGTCATCGCCGTTCTTCCTCCGCTGCCGCCCCCGCAGGGCTTCGCCGTTGTCGAGGCCATTTCCAGCGACTCGTCGCACCCTTTTCTCTGTACTTCGTTCTCCCGCCAACCGCAACCATTGACGCCATGTCGGGTTATTCGAGTGACCGAGACCGCGGCCGGGATCGAGGGTGAGTGTGGAAGCCGAGCTGTCAGGCCTAGCGGGTGGGGGATGGGACGGCGGGTGAGGGAGGCGGCCGGCGGGGACTTCGGAGCTCGGACTCGGCCTTTCCGGACTCTCCTGGGGCCTCGTCTCTCGAAGACTTGCGCCATTTTGATAATCACGTAACAGTGATTGGGAGAGATTTACCGGCGTAGTGTCCTCAAGCTCACTTTTTGTGTGGGGATTAGGAAGCCGTCGGGGCCGCTGCCACTTGGTAGCTGTTGGAGGAATTCGGAGGGAGCGTGTTGTGCGGAGGAAAGCACGACGCTTCGCGTAGGACGAAGTAGCAGATGTTAGATTCTGCCTTTCGGGAGGTGTTTTTGGGGTAGGCCAGGCGTTCTTTGGGAGCGAGAGGACCACTTCCAAAGCCACTGATGCTGTGGGGGTAGGAGGGCGGTCGGCAGTGCCAGCATCAGCCATGTGGCTGAGTGGTGGGTACAAAATGCCGGCCTCGGACATGGCGGCGGCGCCTTTGTTACCCCGCCCGGCGGAGGAGCTCAAAATGGCAGCGTCGAGAAAATGTGGCGCAGAGAGAAATGCGAGACAAAGGGGGAAGCGCCGCCCCAGCGGGAACGCCGCCCGGCCGGCTCCGCCCGGGCCGGGACTCCTCCCCCGGTAGTCGCCGGCTCCTCCTTTTCTTTTTTCCTGCGTTATATAATTTTGATTCGTTGATCGGGAGCTCTAGCCGCGGCGTCCCCCCAGCTCGGTTTGCTAGCAGAAGTGTGCGAGAAAACTCTTGTTCTGGTCTCCGTGTCTGTACTGTCTCGATTCTTAACTCCAAAGCTCGTTGGCTTGAAAACGGCCATATGAGTAACATCGTTGGGTTGCTCTTCGGTTCGTGTGTCCTTGTTATCCCTGATACTTAATTGCTAGACCGGTGGGGAAGATTATAATAACCACAAGAAGTGGTGTGTATCCGAAATTATGGCATCTGGGCGGCAAGTTTCCGACATGATAAATCCCGGGCTTTTTACATGGCCTAAGTAGTGTGTACTTGGGACTACTAGAAATGTTAGTTGTGGCTAAGAGAAAGACTACCGCTCAAGACAGTGCTAAGTTTACTGAACCTCTTGAGGTCGTTTTTCAGTGATCTGTATCTTGTGTCAAGGGATGGTAAACAAATCTGTACAGAAACCTGTGTTGAAGTATTTGAAAATGTGAATAACGTTTTTTCTTCATTTCAGGTTTGGTGCACCCCGATTTGGAGGAAGCAGGGCAGGGCCTTTATCTGGAAAGAAGTTTGGAAACCCTGGGGAGAAACTAGTTAAAAAGAAGTGGAATCTTGATGAGCTGCCCAAATTTGAGAAGAATTTTTATCAGGAGCACCCTGATTTGGCTAGGCGTACAGCAGTGAGTAAATTCATGTGGATTCATCAGGCTGTAACTTAGTAATGGATTCTAGTAAATGAAAATCTGACAGGTGTTTTGCAAATGATTCAATTTTGATAGAGTTACATTTTCTGACTTCATAATTGGAAAGGTTGTGACTCCCTTTTGGAAATAGGTGGCTTTGAGGGGGGGGGGTTTGTTTTTTTGTTTCTGTTCTTTGTTTTGTTTTTACTTAATTAGGTTGAGAATAACAGAATAAACTTTTTTTGCCATACAGTGTTTTCATATGTGGATCAGATAAAAACGAAAGCTACTTTAGTTACTCAATTACGAATTAAGAGGCTTACCAGTTACATTTAGCTGGGGGTGGTTGCCATGAACTTTAAGACTGTTAAAATTTGTTTTGCAGCAAGAGGTGGAAACATATAGAAGAAGCAAGGAGATTACAGTTAGAGGTCACAACTGCCCGAAGCCAGTTCTAAATTTTTATGAAGCCAATTTCCCTGGTAATTCTAGTTTTGAGTTCTTCCTACCACTGGGCTTTTGTTCCCACCCACATCCTCTTTTACTTGTCATTACTAATTTTTACTAAATATCTATCACTATAGCAAATGTCATGGATGTTATTGCAAGACAGAACTTTACCGAGCCTACTGCTATTCAAGCTCAGGGATGGCCAGTTGCTCTAAGTGGATTGGATATGGTTGGAGTAGCACAGACTGGATCTGGGAAAACATTGTCTGTAAGTTTAAGGGAATTATTGAGTTGATCTGATGTATGCAAGAAGGATGGAATGGTAATTTTAAAACTGGAATATTTTAATATAATTTTTGTTTGTTCCCACCTTCACCCGAAATAGTATTTGCTTCCTGCCATTGTCCACATCAATCATCAGCCATTCCTAGAGAGAGGCGATGGGCCTATTGTAAGTATATATTTTTATCTTTTCATTAAAGCATATAATGTATAGATTTTTAGACTGCATAGCAAAAGACACTCATCTGTGGTAGTTTCATATAGAGGTTAGCTCACCTTATTTAGTTGGAGCTGCTTTGGGTATTGGACAACACATATTTAGAAAGGATCTGCAAGCATAACTTAGTAGTTATAAGTTAGTAGTTAAAAACTAGTATCCAAGTTTGTGCTGAAAGTTGTTTCTCTTTCCTTAGTGTTTGGTGCTGGCACCAACTCGGGAACTGGCCCAACAGGTGCAGCAAGTAGCTGCTGAATATTGTAGAGCGTGTCGCTTGAAGTCTACTTGTATCTATGGTGGTGCTCCCAAGGGACCACAAATACGTGATTTGGAAAGAGGTAGATAATGAAAAAGGTTTTTTGTTAGTGGGTGCTAAATATCCTAGGTATTGTAGTTACAGTTGTGTGTTTAACAATTAAAGGTGTGGAAATCTGTATTGCAACACCTGGAAGACTGATTGACTTTTTAGAGTGTGGGAAGACCAATCTGAGAAGAACAACCTACCTTGTCCTTGATGAAGCAGATAGAATGCTTGATATGGGCTTTGAACCCCAAATAAGGAAGATTGTGGATCAGATAAGAGTAAGTGTCCTTCTAAATATGTGATCAAATTCAATTCTGTTTTGGCTTTTAACTCCAATGCTAATTCTCCCCTACCCCAATCCATTAGCCTGATAGGCAAACTCTAATGTGGAGTGCGACTTGGCCAAAAGAAGTAAGACAGCTTGCTGAAGATTTTCTGAAAGACTATATTCATATAAACATTGGTGCCCTTGAACTGAGTGCAAACCACAACATTCTTCAGATTGTGGATGTGTGTCATGATGTAGAAAAGGATGAAAAGTAAGTTTTAATCAACTCTGCTATGTTTAACAAGTTCGCTGTAAAATTGAGAGATCATTGATGATGTTAGGTTATTTCAGTGTTATTTGATGTTAGGTTATTTCAGTATTTTAGTGTTAGCCTGTTAATCCTTTTATGGAAGAAATTCATGTGTCCCCTCGTTGACTTAAGCACCAAGGGTCCAAGTGCTTGATAACTGCTTGGGTTAGCAGGTGTTTCTTCTTTGACTTCTTCCAGCCATGTAAATTAAATCTAATGTTTTGCTGACCGTAAATGTGTGACCATAGCGATGGTCTTTTAAAACTCACGATTTTCCGGGGGAGGGTAAATTTAAAAAAAAAAAAAAAAAAAAAGGATTTTCCTTTTTCTCTCTTACTAGACTTATTCGTCTAATGGAAGAGATCATGAGTGAGAAGGAGAATAAAACCATTGTTTTTGTTGAGACCAAAAGAAGATGTGATGAGCTTACCAGAAAAATGAGGAGAGATGGGTATGTGTGGGCTCCTGCATTGAAGCAGATTTATTAGAACTGAGCTTAGGAAAGGGCAAACTTGGATCAGGAACAGTTGATTTAAGTTTCTTATCTGATAGCATAGATAAAACGATATATGTTACTTGTGACATTAAATAGATCTGTGAATAAAGTGATTAAGCAGTTGAGACTTGAGATTTTCAATGTGAGTTTAATAATACAACTTGTCTTTTGACTTAGGTGGCCTGCCATGGGTATCCATGGTGACAAGAGTCAACAAGAACGTGACTGGGTTCTAAATGGTAAATATTTCAAATGAAGCCTTTTCCCCTCCTTAATCTAGCTAGAATTCTTCTCAGATAATTGATCATTTGTATGCCTTCCTTTTTGTAGAATTCAAACATGGAAAAGCTCCTATTCTGATTGCTACAGATGTGGCCTCCAGAGGGCTAGGTTAGTACAAACTCGCATTCATGGCTTGGTTTCCCAGAAGATCTCCATTTAACTTTTTTAAAGAAAGTTTATTGCTTTCTTTAACCTCTGCATTTTTTCTAAGTTTTTTTTCACATAAAGGTGCAGTCTTTGTGGCAAGGCCTAGGCATGACAATCGGAGGACTCGAGGGGGATGGAGGACTAGTGATCGGCTGGCTGCTTCCAGTCGATTAGAGAGGTGAAAAGCTGAACGTGTGCCAGTAATCTTCAAAAGGCAGAACATACCACCTCTGCCCCGTAAACTGTTCTCTCCGAGGGAAAATAAGGAAGTTATCCTCACAGTTCACTGCCGTGGTGTTTCTTCTGTCCCATGCTTTGCATGACTGCCATGGTACAGCATTGTTTCAAACTGTTCATTGTGATCTGTGGGTCTTTGAGTTTCAGTGAGTTTGCTGAAATGTCGAAGAAATATTTCCAAACTTCAATGTTCAATGAAATTTTTGTTCAAGTTTGAAATGGAGAGAGCAGCTTTAAAAGGTACTAAAGCCTTTTACAAATTGGTGAGTACTGGCACATGAGATGTAGAGCAGGAGCAACTTCTCACACTTAACTCAGTGGGAAAAGAAAGTGCTTTGAAAGTTCCTCCCTCACCTACACAGTAGTCGTCATGTCGAGACCTGCCAGAGAGAGACACATTCTCAAGTGAATCCTGGCTTCTTCGAAGCGCTTGCCTAGACGAGACACAGTGCATAAAAACAACTTTTGGGGGACAGGTATGTTTTCTTGCAGCTGCGGTTGTAAGGTCTTGGCAAGACAAGCAGTGTGGCCAGAGAATTTTGAACTTCTGATAAATGTGTAATGCAAAGGACCTTGTACATTTTTTTGTTTCAAGGTCCTCAAAATGAGCACATGAAGAGGTTGCTGTGAAACTTTAAGTGGCCCTACTGCGCAGAAGCATTCAGATGTCACTTGATGATCTGTAAGGGAACGTGCTGATTTGGGAATGTGCTAGGGAATACACATTCCTTTTGACAGGGTCTGTCATTGGGTGGGTGAAGACTTAACACAGATGACATGTGCTTTTTTTTTCTTTTTTTCAATCTCAAATGGTATTCCTACAGGGAATGGATAACCATTTTAACTGTATTTTTTGCAGCCCGTACCTTCTTGGGAATACAATTGTCTAACTTTTTATTTTTGGTCTGGCTGTTGTGGTGTGCAAAACTCCGTACATTGCTATTTTGCCACACTGCAACACCTTACAGATGTGGAAGATGTGAAATTTGTCATCAATTATGACTACCCTAACTCCTCAGAGGATTATATTCATCGAATTGGAAGAACTGCTCGCAGTACCAAAACAGGCACAGCATACACTTTCTTTACACCTAATAACATAAAGCAAGTGAGCGACCTTATCTCTGTGCTTCGTGAAGCTAATCAAGCAATTAATCCCAAGTTGCTTCAGTTGGTCGAAGACAGAGGTTCAGGTAAGGATGACTGATAGGAAATGTTGGTAGTTGTGAGTCACATCATTGTCTACAAATCCATTTAAATGGTATTGGAGGGTGAGTAAAACCTTGAATGTGAAAACTTGCAAAACGCATTTCAAACCTACAATGAATAGATAAAATTCTTTCCGCAATGACTTCTGTCATAGACATAATTGATCAATTTGCAATTGTTTTCTTGACAGGTCGTTCCAGGGGTAGAGGAGGCATGAAGGATGACCGTCGGGACAGATACTCTGCGGGCAAAAGGGGTGGATTTAATACCTTTAGAGACAGGGAAAATTATGACAGAGGTTACTCTAGCCTGCTTAAAAGAGATTTTGGGGCAAAAACTCAGAACGGTGTTTACAGTGCTGCAAATTACACCAATGGGAGCTTTGGAAGTAATTTTGTGTCTGCTGGTATACAGACCAGTTTTAGGACTGGTAATCCAACAGGGACTTACCAGAATGGTTATGATAGCACTCAGCAATACGGAAGTAATGTTCCAAATATGCACAATGGTATGAACCAACAGGCATATGCATATCCTGCTACTGCAGCTGCACCTATGATTGGTTATCCAATGCCAACAGGATATTCTCAATAAGACTTTAGAAGTATATGTAAATGTCTGTTTTTCATAATTGCTCTTTATATTGTGTGTTATCAGACAAGATGATAGTTATTTAAGAAACATGGGAATTGCAGAAATGACTGCAGTGCAGCAGTAATTATGGTGCACTTTTTCGCTATTTAAGTTGGGTATTTCTCTACATTCCTGAAACAATTTTTAGGTTTTTTTTGTACTAGAAAATGCAGGCAGTGTTTTCACAAAAGTAAATGTACAGTGATTTGAAATACAATAAATGAAGGCAATGCATGGCCTTCCAATAAAAAATATTTGAAGACTGAATTAAGTGGAAATTGTACTTTATTTTACATATGTCATGTAAACTTTGCTTAGATGATTTATTATTTTTTTTTTTAATATGACTGCTCCTTTTTATTTAATTTGGGAGGCGGTGGGGAATCAGAAGGCCCTTCTTTACAATGAGCTATTCATATTGCTGGAGTCAAAATGAATTGATTTAGGTGAATTTTTGATATGGATAAATTGGATAAAAGCTTTGTTAGCTTCCCAATATCAGGGGAGTCATTTAATAGCCTCTTATTTGCTAATATGGTTAAATGAGAAAATAGTAAAATAGATACAAAGTCATCTGTATAATGTGAGAACGTGGATGACTTTGTTTTGCAGATTTATAATTTAAAAAGCTCCAAATAACTGGCGTTTTCACAAGATTTATATTCATGCTCTTGGCTATACTGTGAATTACTGAAATGTTGAATGAACCTGGGAAAGACGTTAGAACATGACCAAGAGCTAAGCCTGAGTCTCCTTGATTGAATTTGCACGATGTGTCCTTAGTGCAGGTTACTCGTAGATTCTAGTTTTCACAGGCTCCCTGGGGCTCTTTTCACTTGAGTCACACTGGGAGTCATGAATGTCTTTCCAATAATTCAGGGAATTCTAGAGATCTTCAAACTGTAAGGTCTATTCATACTCTTAACACAAGGAAAAAACCTCATTAAAATTAATGGCTAATCAGGAGGCAACATAACCAAAAGCACAGTGAATACAAGTTTTCATGTTAGATCTAACGGGTTTATTGCTAGACCCAGGGGATAGCTTTAACTTTGGCTCACCAACCTTACTTTCTGATCATTTATTTCAGTAATAGCTAGAAATGGGTCTGAATGTTTTCCCAGAGTCTGAGATAATGTGTCTTTTGCCAGAAGAGAGGTCTCAAGGAGACTTCATTTAAATTCTGATTATTGAACTGAGGCTTTAATTGTTGTTAATGCCTTATGTCAAATGTAAAGTTAGATTTTGCTAGGTCTGGGATGGGGAGTGATATTTTTAGAACTTAGACATTGAAAACTAATTCAGCCTCTAGGAACCTGGATGGTTTTCAATGGCATGGTTAGTCAAATTCATGGTTTTAAACTTAGAAGCAGCTTTTGTGGGAGGCGGGTAGGTTGGAGCATTTATTACATATTTTACTGTTTAATGTCTAACCGTGGGCCTTTTAATTTGTAAACACTTACTGAAATGATTGTGGGACTGTGGAAAACATTTACCTATTTACCTTTGAAGTTTTAAAAGACAGTCCTCTTTTTAGCATGTGTGTTGTGTCCAGCCTGTGGTTGTCTTAACTAATAAATGTGATTTTTCTCCCCATTCTCTCCTTTATTTATTTTGCGTATAGGCCTCTTACCTGGTGTGAGTTCCCAAAAGTGGAAAACACCTGGCAATAGTACCCAGCTTTGCAGCTGGTTACTATATTTGCTCTCCAGCAATACTGTTCAGTTTCTAGCTTGCCTCTTTTTAAACCCTTGTACACACTTGTAAAGAACTGTTTCCTGAAACTGGTATACGGCACTTTACTAATGATTAAAAAACTTTACTTCTAAGTTATATTAATTGCTAAGCTGTGAGCCACTCTTCATCAAATGGTAATTTGGTAGTCTAGTGAAATAGAGGTGGTTTTTTTTCTTCTGTACCTCTATCTTTAAACGTTTCTGTAAGTGAAACTGGTAACAAGAAATCATGGGCTTTGGAATCAAATTTCTTCCTTAGTCTGGGTATACAACTTTTCCACTTTCTGGGCAGTTCTTCCCTATTTTAAATAGAAATTGTAAAGTCAGAAACCTGTGATGTAATCATGGGTCAAAAAGTCACAAGTCTCACTTTTTGATGACCCCGTAGAAGGGGGCTCCTGGAAGAAGTCGCTGATACGTTAATGGTTTTCTGTGCATCACCAAGAGGGCTTAAGACGTGTGTGGGCCCCTTGGTTTACTTCTCGTGTATTTCCAGGTGAGGCAGATGCTGCTGCCTGGGCACTGCCTTTGGCAAGCCACTGCAATAAAGTGACTACCACTACCCGTCCCAAAGCCTCACGGCAGCCTGGGTACTTATGCATCAAGACAACGGCCCTGGGGTTAGGCCCAGGCCCCCAGGGGGCGGCATTCGCTTAAGAGTTAAGGCCTGGGCATTAACCACATGGAGGACTAAAACTGTTCAGAACTAAATGCCAAATTTGATGTCCAAATCACCATCTGTATATGCCTCAAGGTGAAGTGCTTTCAGACTGAGATGTGTCTATAGATGTTTTGGACAACACGGAAATACTTTAATTTTCTGGATTGCCAAACTGGGGAAGGAAGGTGAAGCCGACTTAAGTGGCTACGGCAGTTATAAATAGGTGGGAATAACCATTACTGGTGCTTTACGAGGAAAATACTAGCAATTGGGAGTGTGAGGGGAGGGGCTCGAGGCGAAGAACGGCAAACTATCAAAGAACCATCCGGACCGGCGTCCGCCATGGTGGGCGGGGGATGGCCGCGGCCGGAACGTAGTGATGTGCTTCCGGGGTGGGGCCTGCTGCCCGCGGGCACGCTCTTCGTCGTCGCGCCTGCGCTCTGACACCCCGGGTTGTAACGGCGGTGGCGGCTTCCTGGGAGCCGCTGGCTGATGGGAGAGCGTGCTCTTTAACTTCTGAGGGAGATGCGCTGTCTTGTATCCGTCAGGGCCTGCCGTAAGGTGTGCAGGTGCCTGCTGTCTGGGTTCGGGGGTCGAGTAGATGCTGGGCAGCCGGAGCTGTTGACGGAAAGGAGTGACCCCCACGGAGGGCACCTGAGGTCGCACGCGGAGCTCCAGGGGAACGGCGAGCACCCAGAAGCCCCCGAGTCTGGAGAGGGAGGCGAGGCGCTGTTAGAGATCTGTCAGAGGAGGCATTTCCTAGGTGGAAGCAGGCAGCAGCACAGCCGGGATTCTCTTCTGAGCGGGTGCCACCCCGGCCTTGGACCCTTGGGCGTAGCGTTGCGGAAGAACCTGGCCGCAGAATGGTGGACCTCGGTGGTGGTGTTCAGGGAGCAGGTCTTCCCGGTGGACGCCCTTCACCACGAACCAGGCCCTTCGCTGCCCGGGGACAGTGGCTTCAGGTTAGTTTCTGCAGAAACTCTACGCGAAATCTTGCAAGACAAAGAGCTGAGTAAGGAACAGCTAGTAGCATTTCTTGAGAACGTATTAAAAACTTCCGGGAAACTACGGGAGAGCCTTCTTCACGGTATGCTTCACGATTTCATTCAAAACAAGTGGTGTGTGGAAAGGCGAGGCACTCTTGCTGGGTCTTGGGGATTGCAGCTGGTCCTTTATTGCCATGCAAAGGAAGTTAGCTAGTTCTCCTGTTTTTGAAGTAGTCGAGTATATTAACAGTACTCTACCCTGGAGAAAACTGGTCCTCAAAGAATCTGGGAAGGCCCTCAATTTCACGGGGCAGCTTTTGAACACAGCGCTGTCATTTATTGCCATGTAGTGTAAGTGCATAAGGAACTACAAAGACATTTTGAACTTTTCTTAGATTTATTCTAAGTAGAAATGTTGGAGTTATAATTCCGAAACCATTTCATGTATATTATAGAATAAATCAAGGCCGGGCGCCGTGGCTCACCCCTGTTCCCAGCCCTTTGGGAAGCTTAGGCGGACAGATCACCTGAGGTCAGGAGTTAGAGAACAGTCTTGGCCAACCTGGTGAAACCCCGTCTCTACTAAAAACACAAAAATTAGCCGGGTGTGATGGTGAGCGCCTGTAATCCTCAGCTACTTGGTAGGCCGAGGCAGGAGATTCACTTGAACCCGACAGGGGGACGTTGCAAGTGAGGTGAGATCCCACCACTGCACTCCAGTCTGGGCAACAAGAGCAAAACTCTGACTCAAAAAAAAAAATTGGGTTAGTGTTATTAGGAACCAAGATTTTCATTGTAAAAGAAGAGATAATAAATGTAAAAGAAGGTATGTTAAATATGAATTGGTGAGTTAAAATTGAATATCAGCATAAACTCGTGTTTTTGTTTTTGAGACAGGGTCTCACTCTGTCACCCAGACTTGAGTGCAGTGGTGTGATCATGGCTTACTGCAGCCTCTATCTCCCGGGCTCCAGTGAACCTCCCATCTTAGCCTTCCAAGTAGCTGGGACTACAGGCGCATGCCACCACACCCGGCTAATTTTTGTATGTTTTGTAGAGATGAGGTTTTGCCATGTTGTTCAGGCTGGTCTTGAACTCCTGGGCTCAAGCAATCCACCCGTCTTGGCCTCCCAAAGCGCTGGGATTACAGGTGTGAGCCATGGTGCCCAGCTTCATGTTTCTAAAAATAATGTATTTCCTAACTTTCTTCATTGAAAGGGCCTAGAAGCAATGACCCTCAGTAGCAATGAGTACACCTAGTTCCCAGATTTTGGTGTCTAAGATGAAACAGTACGGGTAGAAATGGCTGATTCCAGGTCTGGGGTTAGGGAAAGTCCAAGGTGAGTTGGAAACACTTTATGTTACTAAAAAGCAAAGAATTGGGCCGGGCGCGGTGGCTCAAGCCTGTAATCCCAGCACGTTGGGAGGCCGATGCGGGTGGATCACGAGGTCAAGAGACCGACACCATCCTGGTCAACATGGTGAAACCCCGTCTCTACTAAAAATACAAAAAATTAGCTGGGCATGGTGGCACGTGCCTGTAATCCCAGCTACTCAGGAGGCTGAGGCAGGAGAATCGCTTGAACCCAGGAGGCGGAGGTTGCGGTGAGCCGAGATCACGCCATTGCACTCCAGCCTGGGTAACAATAGCGAAACTCTGTCTCAAAAAAAACAAAAAACCAAAAGCAAAGAATTGCTTGAAGACTAATGGGTCATATTAAAGGGTCACAGATGCTGTCTTGAGGAGGGCTGTCACTGTCTACGTTTAGGACAAATTGAACAGTAAGGTAAATATTAATGGTAATGGATTATAACACAATTGACTAAAATCTAACAGTCAATAGGATTCATCAAAAACATAATTGAGGCGGCCGGGCGCGGTGGCTCAAGCCTGTAATCCCAGCACTTTGGGAGGCCAAGGCGGGTGGATCACGAGGTCAAGAGATCGAGACCATCCTGGCCAAGATGGTGAAACCCTGTCTCTACTAAAAATACAAAAAATTAGCTGGGCATGGTGGCGCGTGCCTGTAGTCCCAGCTACTCAGGAGGCTGAAGCAGGAGAATTACCTGAGCCCAGGAGGCGGAGGTTGCGGTGAGCCGAGATCGCGCCATTGCACTCCAGCCTGGGTAACAAGAGCGAAACTCCGTCTCAAAAAAAAAAAAAAAAAAAAAAAAACATAATTGAGGCTAGCGATGGTGGGGGGAAGAGACAGAGAAAGCTTATGTTTTTACAGAAGCTATGCAATAAATGTAGAAGGAAAGACACAATAGAAAATTCACCATTTCATGATATTCAATCCCTGATATAATTGATTCAAGCAACAATCATCAGTGGATTCTAAAATATTGGCTGAAGTACTGTTGGGGAGCAGGATATTATTAGGGAGTGGATATTTACTACTTTAACCAAGTAATCAAATTTGGTGTCATCAGTAGTTGCATAATTTGATAACATTTTCCTTCTGCTATGATACAATAAGATACACACATCAAATAGTATTTTGCTAAAAATGATTAGCCCAAAATAAATCACAAGGAAACAATCAGAAAAATCCCAAATGTGGGATAATCTATGACTAACTTGGACTCAAAAGTCAATGTCATTAATAGCAAAATTAAGGGGGAAAGGAGGCAGGGGAAATGTTCTAGATTGAAAGAGATGACAGACACCTACTCAGAATGTAGTACATGAATATTCATTGGAAAGAAAGAGAACAGTAAAAGATATTTAGGTGAAAATTGGAACAAATAAAATGTTAGCCATATGTTAGATTATATTGTGGTATCATGGTTAACTTTTTATGGTGTTATAACAGTATATAGGAAATATTTTTATTTTTAGGAGAAGCATGCTGCAGTATTTGGGAGTGAACAAAAAGAAAATGTGGCAAAATGTTGATAATTGATGAATCTAGGTAAAGGGTATTTTTTTTTTTAACTTTCTCGTTGATTTGAAAATCTTCTAAACAGTTGGGGTGAAACTACCTAGAATTATGTGGTGCTCAATAAGATCTGTCTTTTTTTTTTTTTTTTTTTTTTTTCTTGAGACAGGGTCTCACTCTGTTGTCCAGGCTGGAGTGCAGCAGCACTATCACAGCTCACTGCAGCCTCAGCCTCCTAGGCTAAAGTGTTCCTCCCACCTCCCAGCTTTCCAAGTAGCTGGGACTACAAGGCACACACCACCATGCCTGGCTTATTTTTGTATATTTTTAGAGATGGGGTTTTGCCACATTGCCTAGGCTGGTGTTAAAACTCCTGAGTTCAAGCAGTCCTCTGGCCTCAACCTCCCAAAATGCTGGGATTACAGGCGTGAGCCATTGCGTCCAGCCAAGATCTGTCTTTGTAGCTCCATGCTACCTGTACTGCTGTATTAACATTATTACTCCTGTTAATTTGTCTATTGACAAAAATGATTTGGGTTTATGGACTAGATGTATACAATAATTGATTAATCTTTTGACAGGTGCCTTGGAACACTATGTGAATTGCCTGGATCTGGTAAACAAGAGGCTACCTTATGGCCTTGCTCAGATTGGAGTGTGTTTTCATCCTGTTTTTGACACTAAGCAGATACTGAATGGTGGTAAAAGGTACAAAAAGTGACAAATAACTTGGCCTTGTATTTAAATAGTCAAGAACTAGTCATTTCCACTTGGGATAGATTATATATTTTTCAGATAAGCTAACTTTCTGATATTTTTGATATCTAAAGAATTGGTGAGAAGACTGAGGCTTCATTAGTATGGTTTACTCCTGTGAGAGCTTCAAACCAGTGGCTTGATTTCTGGTTACGTCATCGACTCCAGTGGTGGAGAAAGGTACTACAATAATCACCTTTAATTTAATAGTTCAGACTGTAGCAGTGGTTCACACCTGTTATCCCAGCACTTTGGGGGGCCGAGGTGGGAGGATCACGAGGTCAGGAGGTGAAACCCCATCTCGGGTGTGGTGGCATGCGCCTGTAGTCCCAGCTATTCGAGAGGCTGAGGCGGGAGAATCGCTTGAACCTGGGAGGTGGAGGTTGCAGTGAGCCAAGATCGCGTCACTAGCAGGCAGTCCAGCCTGGGTGACAGAGAGAGACTCCATCTCAAGAAAAAAAATTTAATAGTTAATAGATAGTCTTAATGTGTCAATGGTAATTCTTATGACATACATGAAATTTTGTTTGATGTATATAGCTATCAATATGTTACACAAATAAAAAACTCTTTGTCATGATTTTCATTGTTCCAGATTACGAAGTTACTTTGGCAAAAACATTTGTTGGGCTCGGATGTGTTTGTTAATTAGCCTTTCTGTATTAGGTAAAATTCTAAGCCCTCGCCTAACATTCCTTGCTGATGTAGAGTTTGACCCTTAACCATTGTTACAGCTTCAGCTTTTGCTGCCTACCTCCATGAACTTTCCATATTAATCAAAATGGTTCTGTAATTGATAATCAAGTTTTAGTACACTGAAGAGAAAAGAGTCGAAGTAAGCATTTTTGTCTTGCCATGTGTTAAGTTACCTTTTCCCGACTCAAAAATTCCCAAATACCCATTTAAACTGTGTGAAATAATCACAAGTAATTAAGAACTTCCCAGAAGGATAAGAATGAGACTGCATGATACTTTCTTCTTTATCCCATTTTAGTTTATGATTAACTTCCCCTCTTATTCATTGGCTATACAAAGACTAGATAACATCAACAGTTCTTTCAGACTAAAAAACAATATTTTAAGCAATATACTCAGTATTTTCACTTTTTATTTTATTTTATTTTATTTTATTTTATTTTATTTTATTTTATTTTTTTAGGCGGAGTTTTCGCTCTTGTTACCCAGGCTGGAGTGCAATGGCGCGATCTCGGCTCACCACAACCTCCGCCTCCTGGGTTCAGGCAATTCTCCTGCCTCAGCCTCCTGAGCTAGCTGGGATTACAGGCACGTGCCACCATGCCCAGCTAATTTTTTTGTATTTTTAGTAGAGACGGGGTTTCACCATGTTGACCAGGATGGTCTCGATCTCTCGACCTCGTGATCCACCCTGCCTCGGCCTCCCAAAGTGCTGGGATTACAGGCTTGAGCCACCGTGCCCGGCTTTTGTTTATATTTTTTAAAGACATAGTCTCACTCTGTTGCCCAGGCTGGAGTGCAGTCGCATGATCCCAGCTCACTGCAGCTTCTTTTATTATTTGTAGAGATGAAGTCTTGCTCTCTTGCCCAGGCTGGTCTTGAAGGCCTAAGCTCAGGTGATCTGCCTGCCTTGGCCTCCCGAAGAGCTGGGACAACAGGTGTGAGCCACTGCACCCAGCCAGTATTTTCACTTTTTAAAAATTAAATTTCAGCAACCTGTGTGGTCCCAGCTACTCTGAATCCTGAGGCAGGAGGATTGCTTGAGGCTAGCAGTAGGAGGCAGCGGTAAGCTATGACTGCACCTGTGAATAGCCACTGCACTCCAGCCTAGGCAACAGTGAGACTCCATCTCAAAAAAATAAACTAAATTTAAACATTTGTATTTGGGACTTGACTAGTTTCACACATTTGCTGCATAAAAAGTATCAGATGATTTAAATTCTTACAGATAATTATGAGAGTAGAGTTAAATTAGCAGTTATTTAAATATGTTAAGACAAACATAAATTTTCTTTTCCAGTTTGCTGTGAGTCCATCTAACTTCAGCAGCAGTGACTGTCAGGATGAAGAAGGCCGGAAAGGAAACAAACTTTACTACAATTTTCCCTGGGGAAAGGAGCCAATAGAAACCCTGTGGAACCTAGGAGATCGTGAACTTTTACGCTTGTATCCTGGCAATGTGTCTAAATTACATGTATGTTTTACCGCAAGCTCCTATGTATTTTTTACCCAGATTCTCTATAATTTCTGAACCATTTGAGAATAAGGTGCAAACATGGTGTCTCATTACCCCTTCTTACTTCATTGTGTATTTCTCAGGTGCAGAGACACTCACCTATGTAACTACAATACAGCCATCAAAATCAGGAAATTAACAGTAATCCACTGTTACCACAGAGCCCTATACATTTAAGTGATTATCTTAATGATAACCTCTGTAGGTCCAAGATCATATCTTTGATGTAGTTGTCATGTGCCTTTACTCTCCTTCAGATGAACAATTCCTCTTGTCTTGCATGACCTTGACATTTTTGAAGAGTACAGTCTAGTTAGTCTGCAGGACATCCCTTGGTTGGGATCTGTCTGCCGTTTGCACATGACTTACGTATTTTTGCTGGGAGCACTGCAGAAGTGATGCTCTCAGTGCATCATATTAGAGTGTTACTGGTGATGCTAACTTTTATCTCTTAGTTAAGATGGTGTATACCAGATTTCTCCAATGTAGAGTGAATAAATATTTTGTACTTATTAATTAGCTAGTAATAAGTTGTGGGCAGACACTTTAAGATGATGCAGATAATTTCTCACCAAATTTTGCCTTGCTAGTTGCAGCATCCATCAATGATTCTTGCCCAGATCAGTTATTACTATGAGGTTTGCCAAATGGTGATTTTTTTTTAAGTTTTTTTTTTGATACAGGATCTCACTCTGTCACTCAGGCTGAAATACAGTGGTGTGGTGATAGCTCACTGCAACCTCAGACTCTTGATCCTCCTGCCTTAGCCTCCCAAGTAGCTAGGACTACAAGTGTGTATCACTACACCCAACTAATTGTTTAATTTTTGTAGAGACAAGGTCACATTGTGTTGCCTGGGCTCACGCGATCCTCCTGCCTCATCCTTCCAAAATACTGGGATTATAGGCGTGAGCCACTGCACTCAGCCTCTTAAGCTATTTTGTGTATGTTTTTAGTTGATTTTACGGTTAATGTCCAAATAAAGTTTTAGAGAACTGTGAAGCAGACCAATAAAGGCTGAAAAACAGGATAGAAAAAATTTGTTCTGGATGATGTGAGAAATCAGATACTTAGAGTTGCCACCAGATGTCTTGACATTGATGGATGTCCAGTTTTCAAAAAATTAGAAAACATTAAAGCAATCTCTCTCTCTTTTTTTTTTTTTTTTTTTTAAATAGGGATGGGATCTTGCCATGTTACCAAGGCTGGTCTCGAACTCCTGGGTTCAAGTGATCCCCTTCCCTTGGCCTCACAAAGTGCTGAACTTACAGGAGTGAGCCACTATGCCCGGCCTAAAGCATCTTCATACTTAAAGATTCAGATTTAGACTTTGATTTAAATCATACCACAGAATCTTTCAGTACTCAAATTTCTCTTTTTTTTTTTTTTGTTTGAGATGGAGTCTTGCTCCATCTCAACAAAAAAGATGAGCTAGATGGCACGATCTCTGCTCCCTGCTCACTGCAACCTCCACCTTCTGGGTTCAAGTAATTATCATGCCTCAACCTCCTGAGTAGCTGGGACTGCAGGCATGTACCACCACGCCCGGCTAACTTGTGTATTTTTAGTAAAGATGGGGTGTCACTACGTTGGCCAAGCTGGTCTCGAACTCTGGACCTCAAGTGATTCGTCCGCCTTGGCCTCCCAAAGTGCTGGGATTATAGGTGTGAGCCACTGCTCCTAGCCCAGTGTATCTTTTTAAATATCAGTTCTATAACTGTGCGAAATAAAACTGGTAGAATAGAGTCCCAGATATCAGAAAGTTTACTGCCTTTGAAAGCAAATTCTTGTGAATCTTTAAAGTATCCTATGCAGTTCAAATAGGTTTAAAATGTCAGTACATATATGTATTAATGAGTGCTTGAACATATATGTATTAATGAAGACTGGTTGAATAATAGAGGTTGAGGATTTAAATGTGTGGGGTTTTTTTTTTCTTTTTTTGGCTCTGCAACTCTAGCCAAAGGTGATTTTTTTTTCAGTATTAAAAAAATTACATGAATATCCAGGTTAACAATGATTTACAAAAAAAGAAAGAAGAAAGTGCAACTGTTTTTATCCAAAACTTTAAAAATTTCTACAACTGAAATTTTTAAGAAATTGGAAATAATTTCTCATCAGGTTTAGAGGAGAAGTCTGTTTATCAATAATTTATATCATGTACTATGGTGTAGTTTATTTTCATAATTATGGCTTTAATGCAAAAAGTAAGTTTTTAAAAGATATTTTTAATGAAAATAACTTTACATTTCAGAAAATTATACTCCAGACCCCTTTCCCTAAAGCACACCATTTTTTTCCCTAAGGCCTCTTTAGAACTTTTATCAATAGTCAGCAATTTTTACTTAAAAGTGTTACCTTTCTAAATACTAGTTCTCAGCTAGAGAATTAGTATTAATTAACTAATACTTTAAATTATATAATTATAATTTAAAAAATAGTTCCTAGGCCGGTGGAAAAACTTGATGCCTAGGTCCCACTCCAGTTGAGTTCGTTCAGAATCTCTGGGATAGAGCCCAACCAAGCACTATACTTTGAAAATTCACATTTGAGCCTCACTGATTAAACCCTGAGCTCACTGAGAGCAGAGAATACATCTTGATCGTCTTTGTGGGCCCAATGCCTAGCACAGGCCTGGCACAGAGTGAGTGCTTTGTAAAATGAAATACTACTTTTGTATTCTGATTTTGTAAGTCTAAAATAGGTACTTTTAAGAAAGTCCGGCCGGGCGCGGTGGCTCAAGCCTGTAATCCCAGCACTTTGGGAGGCCGAGGCGGGTGGATCACGAGGTCGAGAGATCGAGACCATCCTGGTCAACGTGGTGAAACCCCGTCTCTACTAAAAATACAAAAAATTAGCTGGGCATGGTGGCTCGTGCCTGTAATCCCAGCTACTCAGGAGGCTGAGGCAGGAGAATTGCCTGACCCCAGGAGGCGGAGGTTGCGGTGAGCCGAGATCGCGCCATTGCACTCCAGCCTGGGTAACGAGCGAAACTCCGTCTCAAAAAAAACAAAAAAAAAACAAAAAAAAAGAAAGTCCTTTGAAATGATTATTTTTCTTCCGCTTTTCTACGAAGGGCCGAGATGGACGAAAAAATGTGGTTCCTTGTGTTCTGTCTGTAAGTGGGAATCTAGACCGAGGTGTGCTGGCCTACCTCTATGATTCTCTCCAGCTGACGGAGAATTCCTTTACAAGAAAGAAAAATCTTCAGAGAAAGGTGCTGATATTTCAGAGATAGACTTAAGAAACTAATTTCTTTTTTCTTTTTTTAATGTTAGTATGCTTGGTTTCTAACATAAACTCTGAATAATAAATTTAGTGCATGTAGTGTAAGTATTTCTCAGTTTTTTTAGAATCTGGCCACAGAAAGTAAGAATCAGGTTCTCACAGAATAGAACAAGGCATCCCTAGTGAGTAATCCCAAAGGCATTTCTGTTTAATCGTGAACAGACAGACGTCTCTATGACTTCTAGCCCCTGAACCTTTCCATTGGTGGCTTCCGTTTGTATCAGAAGCCAAAGCATTGGTACATAGGAGGAAGAAAGACCCGGATCAGGGAGACCTGTGCTGTTGACCTCTCTGCCACCCCGGAATCTGGCTTCTGGTCTTGTTCCACATGGCTGGTCCCTGGATCAGAGGAGCTAGCTGTGGGCCTAGAAAGGCTGGTTTTAGTGCATGAACATGCAGTTGGAGCATGTTTATGAGTCAAAGAAAATCAAGAGAGAGAAGTTGAAGTTATAGGAGAGAAAATAAAGGACTTAAGGGGCAAGGTGAAGGAAACAGGAGGGGTCAGGATGGGATCAAGAGCCCAAGTAGAGGAATTTGTCTTGAAAAGGAGTTTTTTGAAACATCAGGGAAGAAGAAAAGGATAGTGAGATATAAAAAGGCTACTGGGACTTTTTGGCCTTTAAAGGATATTTTGATACCCTCTATTTTCTCAGGGAGTTAGAAGACTATTATTACTTTAAATGTGGATGAGTGGGGTTTAAATGGCATGAGTGGGAAATAGTCATACACCCTTTGAACATAAAAGGAAGCTGCCCCAAATCAAAAGTTTGTGGTTTTTTTTTTTTGAAACGGAGTCTCACTCTGTTGCCAGGCTGGAGTACAGTGGCTCGATTCCAGCTCACTGCAACCTCTGCCTCCTAGGTTCAAGCGATTCTCCTGCCTCAGCTTCCTGAGTAGCTGGGACTACAGGCACACGTCACCATGCTAATTTTTGTATTTTTTAGTAGAGATGGGGTTTCACCATGTTGGCCAGGATGGTCTTAATCTCTTGACCTTGTGATCTGCTTGTCTTAGCCTCCCAAAGTGCTGGGATTACAGGTGTGAGCCACCACAGCTGGCCCCAAATCAAAAGTTTTAACAAGTAATGTTGAGTTTTCAAGCTGGGATTGGGAACCATGAGTTTGTAGGAAACCACTCTGCTTATTTATGTGATTTATTATACAGTGTTCATTTAGCCTGCAATAGCTATAGAGAAGTCTGATTATATAATTGTTCTCAGGGATGGGGTTTAGAAATGGTATACAGCAATAAAGGGATCCTTTCTTTTTTTTGTACTCAACTTCCAAACCATCAGCAAATCCTGTTTGACTCTAACTTCAAAACATATCCTGAGTCTGACCACTTCCTAGCCTGTCAAGCTACTACCACCCTGCTATAAGCCACCACCATCCCTCCTCCCCCAATAGAGTGGCCCTGTTAAAAGGTACATGTTATGTTGCTCCTCTGCTCAGAACACTCCAGGAAGCCTTCTCATCTCAGGAAAAACGGAAGCCCTCTTTTTGATCTGCTGTTCTCCACCTCACTCAGTCTGTTCCAGCAGCAATGACCTTGCTGTTTCTAGAACATGCCAGGGATGCTGCCAGCTCAGAGCCCTGTCATTTGTATTCTCCATTGCCTAGAGTGCTCTTTCTCCATCACCCACATCTTGTCCCCCCACCTCCTTTCGAGTGTTCGATCAAGTGTCACCTCAGGGAGAGAACCTTCTCTAACCATCTTACTAACTTTAGCCAGCCTGTCCCTTGCCAGTATCTCCCATCTTCTTCCTTTTTTGGCACCTACCACCTTCACATGTATTATTTACTGCCATGAGAGGCAGAGATTTTTTGCCCCTAGCACCCAGAACTGTTCTGGTATCAGAGGCATTAAAATGTTCGTTGGATGGATTAATGAATGAGAAGAGGAGGCTGGGCAGAATGGCTCACACCTGTATTCCCAGCACTTTGGGAGGCCAAGGTGGGTGGATCATTCAGGACAGGAGTTCGAGACCAGTCTATCTGGGCAACATGGCAAAACTCCGTCTCTACAAAAAAATACTAAAACTAGCCAGGCATGGTGGCATGAACCTGTAGTCCCTGCTACCTAGGAGGCTGAGGTGGGAGGATGGATTGAGCCCAGATATGAGGGTTGCAGTGAGGCAGTAAGTGGAGCATTCTAGCCTGGGCAACAGAGCCAGACACTGTCTCAAAAAAAAAAGCAAACAAAATAAGTTTAAAAATATTTTAATTCAAAAAATATATGTAAAAAGAGAAGAGCAGTAGGTTTTGAGAAGAGAAAAAAAGTCAAAATGCTAAGCCTCGTGGCTAAGGCTGGTAGGATCCAAAGTGATGTTTGGAAGAAGTATTTTGACTGAGGGAGTTGTCAGAAAATGGGAGGGGGTCTCAAGTTAATTTCTTTCTTTCTTTCTTTCTTTTTTTTTTGTTTGAGACAGGATATCACTCTGTTGCCCAGACTGGAGTGCAATGGCATGATCTTGGCTCACTGTACCCTCAATCTCCTGGGTCAAACATTCTTCCCACCTCAGTCTCCTGAGTAGCTGGGATTACAGGCATATGCCACACCCAGCCAATATTTTTTTAATTTTTTGGGTATCGACAAAGTTTCACCATGTTGCCCAGGCTGGTCTGGGATTGCTGAGCTCAAGGAATCCACTTGTTTCAGCCTCCCAAAGTGCTGGAATTACAGGTGTGCACCATCATGCCCGGCCAAATTAATTTCTTTCTGCCAAACATCTAACTGGAGAAATCTGGGGCAGCTGAATATGTTACTATATAGGTGTTTTTATGACCTCAGCTAACTTCTATTTTCACACAGAAAATTGAAACTGTTAAGAAACTGTGTTGTTGCCGGGCGCGGTGGCTCAAGCTACTTAGGAGGCTGAGGCAGGAGAATTGCCTGAGCCCAGGAGGCGGAGGTTGCGGTGAGCCGAGATCGAGCCATTGCACTCCAGCCTGGGTAACAAGAGCGAAACTCCGTCTCCCAAAAAAAAAAAAAAGAAACTGTGTTGTTAATATTTGTGTTACATTTAAACTTGTGTTTTTTTAAACAAAATGCTTTTTCACCTTTTCCTTTCTTCCCCTATTAAATGCCTTAGGTACTTAAACTTCACCCTTCTTTAGTCCCTATTAAGGTTGCTTTGGATGTAGGAAGAGGCCCTACATTGGAACTAAGACAGGTGAGTTAAATGAGTTTAAATGTCATGATTTTAATTACAGATTGACAATTACCTGAAAGGCTTTGGACCAGGACTGTTTTGGATCTCGGATTTTTTGGGTATATTTGCATCTCTGATCCCCAAATTCAAAATCTTAACTTCTCTAATGAGCATTTCCTTTGAACTCAAAAAGTTTCAGGTTTTGGAGCATTTTGGATTTTGGATTTTCTGATTAAGGATGTTCAACCTAACCATTACTCTAAGTAAACTTGATAGCTTGCCATTTAAAATTTTATTTTGATTCATTTCCTTTTTAAAATGTTTTGATTTGCCTGGCCAACATGGCGAAACCTGGTCTCTACCAAAAATACAAACATTAGCTGGGTATGGTGGTGTGTGCCTGTAATTCCAGCTATTCAGGAGGCAGGCACAAGAATCATTTGAACCTGGGAGGCGGAGGTTGCAGTGAGCTGAGATTGCACCACTGCTCTCCAGCCTGGGTGACAGAGCAAGACCTTGTCTCAAGAGGAGGGAAAAAAAAAAGGCTTTAATTAAATAATGAACTGTGAGTAAGTACTGTGATTATATATAATTTGAAGTGTGTTAAGCTGAATGCAATTCAGTGGCTTTGCTATTCATGCCCATTCATAGTATCATTTTATTAGTGAGCTGAGTATACATAGTAATGAAAATATTTGTACAGATGCTAGCGAATTATTTCTTTCCCTTTTGAACTTTTTTCTTGTCTGAGACAGAGTCTTGCTCTGTCACCCAGGCTGGAGTGCAGTGGCACGATCTTGGCTCACTGAAAACTCCACCTCCTGGGTTGAAGCAGTTCTCCTGCCTCAGCCTCATGAGTAGATGGGATTACAGGCACACATCACCACCAACACACCTGGCTAATTTTTTTATATTTTTAGTAGAGGGTTTTACCAGTGTTGGCCAGGTGGGTCTCAAACTCCTGACCTCAAGTGATCTGACCACCTCAACCTCCCAATGTCCTGGTATTACAGGTGTGAGCCACCATGCCCAGCCTTTCCCCTTTGAACTTAAACACTTTTGGTAACTGACTATATTCAAATATTCGAGATCTATAATTTTGTTTTGATTTTTCTAATTTGTTCTAATTATTACTCTTAAGAAAGGCCAAGGGGAATGGCTTTCATTTCATTCCAGAGACTCCTTCAGCAGTCATCATTTCTGTCTGGGTAATTCAGACCTAGCCCAGACCTGAATGCAGACACTAAAAACAGACTCTGAGAGTCCCCCAGCTTTCTGACCCTGGCTCCTTGGGAGAGGTCTGGGAAGATAGGAGATAGTGAACTCAAAGAAGAAGATAATGGCTTATGTCCCACATTTCCTCCCAGGGTATGGCAGTCTCTCCGATACCCTTATAGCTAGGAAGCTCCTAGGGTGCTATAGCTCAGTGTTTAGTAATATCTGGAGAGATTTGTGGTTGTCATGGAGTTGGAGGGTGCTGTGGGCCTCTCATGGAGGCCAGGAATGCTGCTAAACACCCTGTGTCAGCAGTGCCAGGGTACGGAACCCTGCTCTGGAGTGTCAGTGCTTGACTGTTAAAGGGGTTTTACATTTTGCTTTGTTTTGCTTCCCTATTGCTTGTTTTTTGTTTTGTCTTTGTTGTTTGTTTTTTTGAGACAGAGCCTTGCTCTGTCACCAGGTGCCAGGCTGGAGTGCAGTAGCACGATCTCGGCTCACTGCAACCTCCGCCTCCTGGGTTCAAGCAATTCTCCTGCCTAGCCTCCTGGGTAGCTGGGACTATAGGCGCACACCACCACACCCAGCTAAATTTTTTTTGTATTTTTAGTAGAGACAGGGTTTCACCATGTTGGCCAGGATGATCTCAATCTCCTGACCTCGTGATCCACCCACCTCAGCCTCCCAAAGTGCTGGGATTACAGGCTTGAGCCACCGTGCCCAGCCATTGCTTGTTAAGAAAACAGTAAAGTTTCCAGTTAAGCCTTTGTCTCCAGCATTCCAATTAATTTGGTCAATCAGTCTCTTCTTGGAACATTTTTCTTGGCTGACTTCTGGAGTCCTGCTCTCCTTTTCCTCATCCTTTTTCTTTCCTGGCTCTTCTGCCTCATCCTGACTTGGTGGTATACCTGGGGCTCAGGTCTCACGTCTCAGATGAGGGCTCTGAGTTCATACAGCCCTTTGGATCTCCTGCTTTTTTTCTGATAGAATCTGTTGTAATTTGTTTGTGTTTTGAATGATACCAAGGGTAATAAAAATTCTTATTTGGTATACAAATTTCTCAGAAGATTAGCAGTTAGTACTCAGCTTTGCAGTGCTTAATTTTTTCATTTTCAGAAGTATATGATTTATAAAGTATATGATATGGAAGTTATAAACATTAATATCACATAATTAAACATACCCATTTTAGAGATTGAAGAGGGTGATCTGTGGCTTCACAAAAATAGGACAGTCACTCTAGCTATCGTTATTTCTTTCATATTGAAGTTTTTCTATTTCTTTCTAGGTTTGTCAAGGGCTGTTTAATGAATTACTAGAAAGTGGGATTTCTGTGTGGCCTGGTTATTTGGAAACGATGCAAGTCTCATTGGAACAACTTTATTCAAAGTAAGAATTGTATTTTCATTAAAAAAATGTACCCAGAGTTTTTCATTATGTTTCTTTCTGATAACAGAAACAAATCTCTTCTAAATATAAATATAAAATATAACTTAAAATTATTCCTCACTTTCCCTTTTACAGAACTATGTGTACTTAGTTAATTGCTACAGCAGGGAACAGTATTCAGCAAGTATGTTTGAGCACATGCTATGTGTACTTCCAATACTTAATGTCATGAAGTATGTATACCTCAGCTTATCCACTTATGGATGAAAGTATGTACGTAGAGAGCATGTGTTGAATCAAGACTGAAAGCACATGAGTGGAATGCCTTTCCTTGCTGGCATTGTGGTCCATTCTGAGACTGAGTGGAGGGGAATTCTATTCTGGAGGGATAGTCTATTCTAGTTTCTTAGGGATTGGCACTTCTTTTCACGCAATTGCTCAGGACAGAAACTGGCTATCATCCGTAACTCCTCCCTCTTCCTTATTCTCCACATCCAGTCCATCACCAAATGCTGTCTGTCTTCGCTGCCACTACCCGTTAGAGTCACCAATATCTCTTGCCTGGATTTTTAAAATAATCTTCTAATTGAGCTCTCTGTGTCTAGTCTTATCCCATGCCATTTCATTAACTGTTGTTTTAAAATGAAGTAGTCCATTCTTGTTATTTTTTTAAACTTTTTGTGTTGAATACATATCTTTTGGGTTAAAAGTTGTGAAGCTTTGTGTTTTGATCTTCAGTTATCTGAAAACTTGCTAAAATACACCTTCCAGGCTGGGCACAGTGGCTTACGTCTGTAATCCCAGCACTTTGGGAGGGCCAAGGTGGGCAGATTACCTGAGGTCAGGAGTTCAAAACCAGCCTGGCCAACGTGGTGAAACCACATCTCTACTAAAAATACAAAAAGTTAGCCAGGTGTGGTGGCTTGTGCCTGTAGTCCTAGCTACTTGGGAGGCTGAGGCAGGAGAATTGCTTGAACCCAGGAGGTGGAGGTTGCAGTGAGCTGAGATCAAGCCACTGTATTCCAGCCTTGGCAACAAAGCGAGACCGCATCTCAAAAAAAAAAAAAAAAAAAAATACACCTTCCATATAATGTCCAAAGAAAAGTAATTTTCTATAATTAGAGTATCTAATGGTTTTATTATGTATAAAATGAAGGGGCAGCACTTGAACTTTCTTGTCCTCTCAGGTTCTAAAATCTTATCCTTTGAGCCATGTGGACATTATCAAGTTTCAGTTGTTCTTTATATGGTAAAGGTTTTATTGTACCAGGATATTTTAATGAAAATATTAAACTCCTACTCTGTTTTATGCACTTTGATATAGTAGTGAACAAGATAGAAAAATTTACTACTCTTCTTAAGCATATATTCTAGTAGGACAAAATAGACAATAAACGAGTAAACAAAGATATAAAAGGTTTCTGATGGAGTCCTACAAAGGAAATAAACAGTAATGAGATAGTGTGCCTTGGCAAGTATACAGAAGGTCAGCTGTGCATCTGTCTGTTTGGTTATTGCTGAACTAGAAGCTGTAAGTTAGCATACTCAGTTATAAATGAAGCATGATTTTGGTATAATTTGTTATACCAAACTGCATCTTTTTAATAATACTGTTAATTGTAAGAGATGTTGATCTAAAATAATTGTTCTTAGACTGCATCCAAGAACCAAAAAGCTGAGGTTATTTTGAGGTTCATCTGTGATATCACCCCAAAATGATATGTTGAGGTATGGCTGTTTATTTCTCAGATTTTATTTTCTTTTATGACTTTTCAGCTCTAGCAACAAGTTAGAAACTGTCTGAAAATTTTACTTTGAATATGATTCAGAAACTTTAAAAATGTCGGGGTCTTTTTGTCCAGCCCTGAAGCACCCTGACTGAGTTTATGACTCGTGAGAGTGCATGGACACTGAATTATAGCTGGCAATGTGGGGTAATTTATCATTTATGTTTGTGCTCATGTGTCTGTTTAAATACTTTTTCTTAGGTATGATGAAATGAGTATCCTCTTCACAGTTTTGATTACTGAAACTACTTTGGAGAATGGATTAATACATCTGAGAAGTAGAGACACCACAATGAAGGAAATGATGCATATATCCAAATTAAAAGACTTTTTGTTCAAGTATATATCATCGGCTAAGAATGTATAGGTTTTTATATTTGTATAATAAATATTCTTCTTTCCTAATTTGGTTGTCTTAGGTTCACTTAGATTTTTTTCTAGCCCCTTTGCACTTATGAAGTGGACATTTGTGGTGCTTGCTTTCATTAAGTGTTTATATTTTTGATGTCTTTCATTGTATCAGGAAAATATTCAGCTACAAGAAACAAAAATCTATTGGATTAAGCAAATTGGAGTTTGTTTTTCTCATACACAAGAAATCTGGACGGTAGACTGTCCAAAGCTAGTATTACCATTTCTATAGTTAATAGTATTTCTGTTCTGCCATCTTTAGTACGCTGGCATTTACAGTTGTTGCTTCAGGATGGTAGATGGCTGCTGTATTTCCAGCCTTCTTATCATTCTAGTTAGGAGAAGAGTTAAAGAGATAAGAGCTAGTCAGCCAAGACTCTTGCCTTTTAAATTAGAAAGGTAAAAGCTTTTCCAGATATCCCACTGGGAAGATGTCTTTACATCTTATTGGTCAGAACTAAATCACATGATAAATTCTAGACAGATCATTATCCAAGGGAATGAAAATGATCTGATTTAGATCAAACACAATTTATCCCTTGAGGCTGCAATAGTGTCTTACTCTCTCAGAAATGGGCTTCGTTATCAGGTCTTTATGGAATCTGCCACATCTATACTGTTGGATATCAAAAATTAACCTAAAACTTAAAACTAGACATTTGTGGATTTTTGAAAAGCAAACTAAAATGTATGTTAGATATAAGACAGGAAGTAAACTGCAATAGTTGACATCTATTGTTTACTTACTGTCTTATATCTATGTTTATAAGAAATCTTTAAACTTTTATGTGTTGATATGATTGTATAAAATATCCCATTATTAACAACTTGACAAAAATTCCAACTGATCATGCCTATAAAATATTTCAAAAGTTTGGCTAATTTGTCTTAATTGACTTGACTTGGTAGGTTTTTCTTTTTTAATTTTAATTTTTTTTCTGAGCCTCAAGCAGTCCTCCTGCATTGACCTCCCAAAGTGTTGGGATAACAGTTGTGAGCCACTGCACCTAGGCTTGTTTTGATTATTTTGTGCTTGTTTTTTCATTATGGAGAATTTTAAAAACAGACATATAATTAATAGTATTAATCCTATGTACTGATCACCTAGCAATAACAATCAACCTTTGGCCAGTCCCACCTCATCTAATACCACCCTTCCATATTATTTCAGTTATTTCTTTAAGTTTATTAATTAAGAGACAAGGTCTCATTATGTGGCCCAGGCTGGTCTCAAACTCCTGGGCTCAAGTGATCCTCCTGTCTCAGCTTCCCAAAATACTGGGATTATAGGCGTGAACCACCTCACCTGGCCTCCTTCCATTTGATTTCAAGGCAGATAGCAGATAACCATTTCATCCGCAAATATTTAAGGATATTTTGTTAATAACCACAACACTATTATCACATTCAAAAGAATTAACACTAGATGATACCAAGGAATTATTGACAATTTTCTTGGGTGTGATAATAGTATGTTTATATTTTTCTTTTTAAAAAAATCCTTGTCTGACAGATACATAAGTATTTTGGGGTGAAATTATATGGTATCTGAGACTTGCTTTATAATTCTTGTGTTTAAAAAGACTTGCTACTTTTTCAGCAACTGAGAATAATGACTTAGGCAGGTAATGCAACATAGTATATAGCCATAGCACAGCTAAGCTACCAATAAGAAATCTATCTTGACATCAGTCTAATAAAGGAAAACGTGAGAAATCTTTGCTCAGTAAATTAACATAAAAAATAAATAAATAAAAAATAAATAAATAAAAATAAAAAGACTTGTAAGTGGTAGGAGATGAAGTAAGAATAGCATTGAGTTGTTGAAGCTAGGTGATTAGCACATAGACCGCAGGGTTCATAGTATGTGCCATTTTGAGAATTTTCATAATAAAAACAAAAACTCTTTACTATCAAATAGTCACTTAATTTCCAGTTGTCTCATAAATTCATAAAGTTTTGTACTGTTTGTTTTCATCAGGATCCAAATAAGGTCCATACATTGAGATTAGTTAGGTCTTTTAGCCTTTCTTATTCTATAAAATCACAGTCTCTCTCTTTAAGAAACTTGTTATTTATTGCGGGGTTTTCCACTGTCTGGATTTTGCTTATTGCATCTTTGTAGTAGAGTTTAACGTGTTCCTTTCTGTATTTCTTGTAGAATGGTAGTTGAATGCAGTGGCTTGATTAGCTTCAAGTTTAATTTTTTTGGCAAGCTTATTTCATAGATTGTTGTATACTTTCATTAGGAAGATTAAGACACGGTAGTGTCTTGGCCAAACACAGTGGCTCATGCTTATAATCCCAGCACTTTGGGAGGCTGACGGGGGTAGATCACTTGAAGTCAGGAGTTCAAGACCAGCCTGGCCAACATGGTGAAACTCCATTTCTACTAAAAATACAAAAATTATCCAGCCATGGTGGTGGTAGTATTGTCTGGTTGTTTCTCTTTTAGGGTTGCCAGCAACCATTGATTAATACCTCAATTGGTGAGTTCATTAAAGATTGTAAAGTGGTGATATTCTGATTCTGTCTGTCTTCTTTGTTTGCTAGAGTACTTCTATAGGAAAACTTCTCACTGAGTATTTGCTTATCTAGAGGTATGGGAAAGGTAGGATAAATGCTGGATTCTTTTTTTTTTTTTTTTTAGACAAAATGTCTCACTTTTTTTTTTTGTGACTGAGTTTCGCTCTTGTTACCCAGGCTGGAGTGCAATGGCACAATCTCGGCTCACTGCAACCTCCGCCTCCTGGGTTCAGGCAATTCTCCTGTCTCAGCCTCCTGAGTAGCTGGGATTACAGGCACGCACCACCATGCCCAGCTAATTTTTTGTATTTTTAGTAAAAGAGACGCGGTTTCACCATGTTGACCAGGATGGTCTCGATCTCTTGACCTCATGATCCACCCGCCTCAGCCTCCCAAAGTGCTGGGATTACAGGCTTGAGCCACCGCACCCAGCCAACCTGGCTAATTTTTAAAAAAATTTTTGTAGAGACAGGATCTTGTTGTGTTGTCCAAGCTGGTATCAAACTCCTGGGCTCAAGTGATCCTCCTGCCTAAGCCACCCAAAGCAAGGGATTACAGGCAAGAACCAAGGGATTACCAAATTGGGATTACAGGCAAAAACCACTGCGCTCAGCCTATATGCATACTTTTAATGTGTTTTCAGATAACATGAACTCTATTTCACCATGAAAAATTTAAAGAATGTGTAGATTTGCAAAATAACCAAAGTGAAACTTCTTGACATGAAAAATGTGGCTATTGAAATGAAACTAAAAAAAAAAAAGAAATGAAACTCAGCAGATCCTCTTCTTCCGCCCTTCCTGGACAGTTCAACCCAAAGGCCACTGGGTGGGGCTGAGCCTCTGCACGGGGATAAAGTGGAGTGGGAAGCCACAAGGCCAGGGAGCTGGGCGACCAGCCCTTCTGGGATGAAGAGGGAGTCCACCTAGGGGTGGGTCCCAGAGCAGGAGGTTGGGTGTCCACAAGGTGATGAGTCCGTCCAGCATGTGGTGCTGGAGCCCATGAGGGGCAAGGAGTGTCCTGCAGGTGGGGGTGGGGACATGGGCTGGGGCAGGTGTCCTCACCAAGGTGGGGCAAATGGGATATTCTCATGGAGGGGCAGTCTGGGAGGGGGGCTATCTGAATGAGGGAGGAGGGTGGTGATGGAGCCCTGAGTGGGTGTCAGGAAGGGCCTCTGGGTGGGAGGGCTAACAAAGGTGGGGTGTTAGAGCCTGAGCAGGGTGGAGAAATGCTGGGGGAGGGGTGAGGGTGGCTCAGGTGTCGGAGTCTGAGAGTGTGGGGCTCTGCATAGGAGCACATTCATGTAGGGAATATCCGGATCTGAGTCCAAATGGGGTGAGAAGGGGGTCTGCATGGAGATTTATTATATGCAAGGGGATTAATCAAATTCCATAAACTGGCTGGCGCAGTGGCTCACACCTGTAATCCCAGCACTTTGGGAGGCTGAGGCAGGCAGATCATCTGAGGTCTGGAGTTCAAGACCAGCCTGGCCAACGTGGTAAAACCCCGTCTCTACCAAAAATCCAAAAATTAGCCGGGTGTGGTGGTAGGTGCCTGTAACCCCAGCTACTGGGGAGGCTGAGGCACATACAGATAGCTGTAGAGATGGAAATAGGTATAGATGTTAATGTATGTATAAACGCATTCCTAACCTCTGATAGTTGGAAGGGTCTAGAAACACGAACACCCTAAGCGCCATGGTCACAGCTAGAGCTCAGCCTCTGTTTCTAAATACAGGGCTCTTCCTAAAGGAACCAGAGCTCCCTGGAAATACAGCTGACTCCAGAGCCGGATGAGGACAAGGACAAGATGAACCTGGAATATGTTGTTGGGCCAGAAAGTAAAGAAACACTCGCCGGGCGCTGTGGCTCACGCCTGTAATCCCAGCTCTTAGGGAGGCAGAGGCGGGAGGATAGCTTGAGCCCAGGAGTTCGAGACCTGCCTGGGCAATATAGCGAGACCCCGTTCTCCACAAAAAGGAAAAAAAAAAAACAAAAAAACAAAAACAAAAAATAAGCGTAACTTGGCCGGGCGCGGTGGCTCAAGCCTGTAATGCCAGCACTTTGGGAGGCCGAGGCAGGTGGATCACGAGGTCGAGAGATCGAGACCATCCTGGTCAACATGGTGAAACCCCGTCTCTACTAAAAATACAAAAACATTAGCTGGGCGTGGTGGCGCATGCCTGTAATCCCAGCTACTCAGGAGGCTGAGGCAGGAGAATTGCCTGAGCCCAGAAGGCGGAGGTTGCGGTGAGCCGAGATCGCGCCATTGCACTCCAGCCTGGGTAACAAGAGCGAAACTTCGTCTCAAAAAAAAAGAAAGAAAGAAAGAAAGAAAGAATATGTCGGGCCAGGTGCAGTGGCTCACGCCTGTAATCCCAACACTTTGGGAGGCCAAGGCGGGCGGATCACGAGGTCAGGAGTTCAAGACCAGCCTGGCCAACATAGTGAAACCCCATCTCTACTAAA